TTATAATCAGAAAATATAATAAAGATGAAGATAAATCTGAAGTATAAATAGAAAACAAATGAACCTGTGTTTCAAGTGAATAATGTAACCACACTGAAGATAACTGAAGATAAGATAGTACAAATTTTTCAAACTCAGGATAAAAAGAACTATAAACAAGGAACCCTAGTTTGTAGGCTGGTTTTTTGTGATGGTATAAATTGGCAATTTTAAAACTATTTTCTTTCTTTCTTTTTGACTGTTTTTTTTCTTTTTTAAGATTTATTTACTTATTTTGAGAGAGTGAGAATGAGAGAGAGAGAGAGTACATGAGAGGGGGGAGGGTTAGGGAGGGTTAGAGGGAGAAGCAGGCTCCTTGCCGAGCAGGGAGCCCGATGAGGGACTTGATCCCGGGACTTCAGGATCATGACCTGAGCCGAAGGCAGTCGCTTAACCAACTGAGCCACCCAGGCGCCCTTGACTATTTTCTGTTTTTAAGATTGAGTAACCTAATGGGGGAAAAGGGAAGGTTCCTCCTTAAGATTGCAAATAAATGTAGAACTGTTGGAATTAAGGCAGACACTTAACGACTGAGCCACCCAAGCGTCTGCCTTCAGCTCAGGTCATCATCCCAGGGTCCTGGGATCGAGCCCCGTGTTGGGCTCCCTGCTCGGTGGGAAGCCTGCTTCTCCCTCTCCCACTCCCCCTGCTTGTGTTCCCTCTCTCGCTGTGTCTCTCTCTGTAAAATAAATAAAATCTTTAAAAAAAAAAAAAACTGTTGGAATTAGAAAATGACCACTTCAGAGCAATTTAAATAGTACTTTCACACAAGAATAATTTGCAAGTACCAAACTGTTGGGTGAAAGTTTGATGAGGAGTGTGATATTTACATAGCTTCAAGATAATTCCTTACAAAATACTAACTTACTACAAAGAGAAAAACAGTAACTTTACAGTGGAGAAACTTGGCAGGATACCCTTTAACCAAGTGATCAAAGTTAGCATCACTGATAATAGGACACAGTAACCTCTTGCAGCTTTTGATACGTGTGTGAAGGACCCAATGCTACTTTGTGACATTCCTGCAGAAAATGCATAGCCTGAATTTAAACAGGAGAGACCATCAGACAAATGTAAATTGAAGGATGTTCTATAAAATAATTGGTCTGTATTCTTTAAAAATATTAGTCTTAAAAAACATAGACTGAGGAACTGTTCCTTAAGATAGGATTCTAAGGAGACATTACCACTAAATGCAGTGCATGATCCTGAATTGGATTCTGGACTGGGGAAATCAACAGCTTTAAAGGACATTTTTAAGTCAGTGGCATTTGAATATGGACTCTAATTATGTAACAGAAATTTTAACATTGATACAATACTGATTTGGTTAGCTGTACTGTGGTTATCTCTCTGTCTTCCTAGGAAGATACATGGAAACATTGAGTGCTAAAATGGTACAATGTGGGGCGCCTGGATGGCTCAGTCAGTTAAGCGTCTGCCTTCGGCTCAGGTCATGATCCCAGGGTCCTGGGATCCAGCCCCGCGTCAGGCTCCCTGCTCTGCGGGAAGCCTGCTTGTCCCTCTCCCACTCCCCCTGCTTGTGTTCCCTCTCTCACTGTCTCTCTGTCAAAAAATAAATAAAATCTTAAAAAAAAAAAAAATGGTACAGTGTCTGCAACTCACATGGTTCAGAAAAAAAGGTGTGAAAGAGAGAATGACAAAGCAAATGGGATAAAATGTAAATAATTGGTGGTATTTGCAAGTTATATAAAGATAAAAAGTTACCTAAAAATTCCCAAGTTACAGTCATCTTTTCATATATGGGAGTTGTGATTGAACAACTAGATTTTATTATTTATAGAATCATTTAAAAGTACAAAAATTTTTCTCATCACTTAGAGAAAGTAAAGTAGTGAAGGAAATGCTGATTAAGTCAAAAAATTCCAAACTGTTAAGATACAGAACAGAAGGACCTGAATTTTTGTTTGGAGTTCTGTCATGACCAAGTAACCTCATTGAGCACCTCACTGTCCTATATTCATTTCCTTTGACATGTGTACAGTAGGTTTTTTAAAGGACTTCCTAAACATTTCCTATATAACTAATAAGTTTTCTTTAAAAAGCGTGCTTTGTAAAAATCAGATTGCCATGTTCCAAATACTTTAGTAAATTTATTAAGAAAATTTGAAGACCATTTTTAAAATTTTTTGTTTATATTTTAAAAGTTTTTATTTAAATTAGTTAACTTACAGTGTAATTAGTTTGAGATGTACAATTTAGTGATTCAACAATTCCATACATCACTTGGTGGTCATCACAACAAGTATGTTCCTCAGTCCCCATCACCTGTTTAACCCATCCCCCCACACACCTCCCTTCTGGTAACCATCAGTTTGTTCTCTATAGCTAAGAGTCTGTTCCTTGTTTTGTGTGTGTGTCTCTCTCTCCTTTTCCTCCTTTGCTCATTTGTTTCTTAAATTCCAGATATGAGTGAAATCATATGGTATTTGTCTTTCACTGACTTATTTCACTTAGCATAATACTGTCCAGCTCCATCCATGTTGTTGCAAATGGCAAGATTTCATTCTTTTTTATGGCTGAGTAATAGTCCACTGTACACATGTACCACATCTTTATTCATCAATCAGTGGATACTTGGGCTGCTTCCATATCTTGGCTATTATAAATAATGCCACTGTAAACATAGGAGTGCATGTATTCCTTTGAATTAGTGTTTTTGTATTCTTTGGGTAAATACCCAGTAGTGCAATTGCTGGATTGTAGGGTAGTTCTATTTTTTGACTTTTTGAGGAACCTGCATACGTTTTCCACAGTGGCTGCACCAGTTTGCATTTCCATCAACAGTGCACAAGTGTTCCTTTTTCTCCACATCCTCACCAACACCTGCTGTTTGGTGTGTTGTTGATTGTTGATTTTAGCCATTCTGACAGGTGTGAGCTGATATCTCACTGTGATTTTGATTTGAGTTTCCCTGAGGATTAGTGATGATGAGCATCTTTTCATGTGTCTGTTGGCATTTTTGCAATTATTTTTGTTACAAGGGAATATTTTAGGGAGTGGAAGTTCTTTATTAAATCTTTAGCTACAATGACATACAATCATTTTAATAATTTTTATGTAATAAATTATTTTAATACTTGGTATAATTTTTATTAGGCTGGTGACATTCATAAAAACTCACCTTGATAGTAGTATCAGTGAGCTTCTAACAAAATTATTCTGTAGGGTTTATGTAAAACATCATTCCTATCACTCCTTAAAGAAAAAGGATTTTACCAAGGTTCTAAAAATGAGGCATATTCAAATACATTGCTTACAGTTTTTCTTTGTTCTAGAAATTTGTGAAATAAAGATTATTTAAAGGTATTTTTTTCATACTTTTCTGGATTAAAACAAATTTTGAGTATAGTTGATATACAATGTTGTATTAGTTTCAGGTGTGTAGTACAATGATTCAACAAGTTTATACATTATGCTATGTTCACCACAAGTGCAGCTACCATTTGTCACCATACAACACTATTATAGTACCATTGACTGTATTCCTTTTAGTCCCATGATTTATTCATTCCATATCCAAAAACCTGTATTTCCCACCCCCTTCATCCATTTTGCCCAGCTCCCTACCCTCCTCCTCTCTGGCAACCATCAGTTTGCTCTCTCTATTTATAGATCTGATTCTGTTTTTGTTTGCTTATTCATTTATTTTTAGATTATACATAAGTAAAATCATATAGTATTTGTTTTTCTCAGTCTGACTTATTTCACTTAGTATAATACCCTCTAGGCCCATCCATGTTGTCTCAAATGGCATGATCTCATCCTTTTTTATGGCTGAATAGTATTCTGTTTACACACACACACACACACACACACACACACACACACCCCACATCTTTCTTACCCATTTGTCTGTTGATGACACTTAGGTTGCTTCCGTATCTTGGCTATTGTAAATAGTATTGCAATAAACAGGACTGCAAATAAAAAAAAATAATAAAAAAATAAAAAAAGGTTTTTATATTGTATTACTAAAACCACCCCCTTCAAATAAACACCTAACTGTATAACAAATAGATAATGTTATAGATAATTTACTGGTAAATGCAGATATTAATAGAAATGTGTTTATTAATTATAAAATTATTTGATTGAGATTCCAAAGTCAGCAATAGTGACACTTTAACTTGTTTGACAAGTGAAATGCTAGTTAAAATGGAGTAGTCATGGGGCGCCTGGGTGGCTCAGTCAGTTAAGCGTCTGCCTTCGGCTCAGGTCATGATCCCAGGGTCCTGGGATCGAGCCCCACATCGGGCTCCCTGCTCTGATGGAAGCCTGCTTCTCCCTCTCCCACTCCCCCTGCTTGTGTTCCCTCTCTCGCTGTGTCTCTCTCTGTCGAATAAATAAATAAAATCTTTAAAAAAAAATGGAGTAGCCATTCCTTGGTAGTAACAATAGTTCTACCCTGCTTTGATGGCATGTCTCTTTTTTTTTTTTCCTCCTTATAAAAATTCCTTCCTTCCATTGCCAGGAATCACTCCTTGTTGACACAGCTCTTCATATTTTGGGCCCCTTGAATAGTTACTACCAGTGTGTTAGAAAGGATATGTGTGGAATGGAATTTGTGGGAGTTGTCAGCAAACAACAATGTTTATTCTGTTTGTCTCTTTTTTTTGTGTGTAAACAGTATTTCATATTTCAAAGATTCAGTAATTTACTTCTTAGGCATTTGACTTGTATCTAGGGGAATTATTTATTAGAATTAGAGGAGATTGTGGTTCTACATTAGTGTGTGGATTTTATAGTTTCTCCGGTAACTTGGAGTGGTCATCTTTCTTATATCATTAGGATAAAGTCCTGTTTTCTGGGGGAAATTGAGGACCTCCTCTTTGTATTTTGTATACCTATGTTTTGTTTGGAATTACTCTATCAGTGCAATGTAGCAATTATGTTACTAACAACAATTTTGTGAGATGTTTATTATTCTCATTTTACAGATGAGGAAACTGAGGCTTGGTGAAGTTACGAAACTTGTCCAAAGTCACACAGCTTGTAAAGGGCACAGCCAAGATTCAGAGCCAGGTCTGTCCAACTTCAAAACTCTTAATTATAGCCATGAAACTTTGAAATAGCTGTTAAGTATCAACCTGTGATAAGTTGTATTGCTCTTAATATTGCTTAACTGTTGTTAACTGTTACTGATAATTTTTTTAATGGTGAGTTTTTTGTCTATGATAATTTTATGTATCTTTTAAATATTGTGAAAAGAGGTGTAACGTAGTAATTGAGGGTCTGGGCTCTGGAGACAGACTCCTGGGTATGAATCCCTAAGCTTTTCCACTTACTTGTGTGACATTGGGAAAGTGACTTAACTTTTTCTGTACCTCAGTTTTCCTTCCTGTAAAATGGTGATAGTAATATGATCCACCTGGTAAAGTTGTTGTGAAGATTGAATTATTTAATATATACAAAAGCACTTAAAACAGTGCCTGACATACAGTAAGCATTCAATAAATGTTAGCTACTGGTATTATCATCTCCTAGCAGTTAGTAAAAGAAATGATTGTTACTTCTAATTCTATTAGGAATTTGAATAAGGAAAGTTTAAGCAGCAATATCAGATATCACAAAATTCACATAAACCGAAATTAAATTTGAGTAAATTAGACCTAAGGAAAATCATACATTTGATCAATTTTAGATCTATGGTAGAGCAAACTGGGCAACTGCTTATGGATCTCACATGTAGAAGTATATTTTATGTATGAGGATTGTACATAGGTCCACTATAGATACCCTATGAGCCCCATATGATCATTGTATTATGAATGTGTTTTGTCTGTTTTCCTCTTACAGATGCAATTTATATTCAGAATAAATGTTTACATTTTTAGGCGGCTTTTAAGGAGATATTTTGGCAATGTTCACATGTAATTACCAAGAAGCAAAACATTATGTGTTATGTAAAACGTTAGCAACATTTCATCACTTGCAGGAGTAGTTACCAGAACTTACATTGGGCTGAATGTGCACACTGATTGTTCTTTGAACCAATAGGGCCACAGCACATTCAGCTAGAACTCAGCCGTGTACTGATCATATACTCTTCACTCATACTTCTTGATCGCAACTGTAAGAATTTTGAAGTGCCATATCCACTATTACTACAGTTTAGTTAAAATATCTGTGATTAGTGACTAAGAAGTTTACACCAATTGCAAAAATACCCATAAATGGTAGTAATTTAGTCAAGGTATGCAAATATTCCAAAGCTATAATTTTAAAATGGGACTTGCCTTGTAGGGCACCTGGGTGCCTCAGTCACTTAAGCGTCTGACTTCGGCTCAGGTCATGATCTCAGGGTCCTGGGATTGAGCCCCATGTCGGGCTCCCTGCTCAGCAGGGAGTCTGCTTGTCCCTCTCCCTCTGCCCCTCTCCCTACTTATGCTCTCTCTCTCTGTCTCTCTGTCTTTCTACCAAGTAAATAAATAAAATCTTTAAAAAATAAATAAATAAAATGGGACTTGCCATGAGCCAAAGATCTCTTTAACCTTTTTTTTTAAAGATCTTTGTAACTTTTAATGTACACATGCATTTAATTCTCTTTATTTCACGATACTGAGTCTTACTATCCTTGAACATGGTATGTCTTTCTAGTTATTTAAATATTTAAAAATATCTCTCAGTAAAGTTTTTTTCTTTTTCTCCATAAATCTCTCTCAGGTCTTCTCTTTGAATGATTAGATATCATATTTCTTGTTACTATCATAAATAGTATATTTTTCCTCTTTTGTTTTTCCTTTCCATTTCTATTTGCTGATGTAAGCTTTTTTGGTATATAATACAGATCTATGTTCAGTCACCTTATTAAATTATTTTATTAAAATACTGTGAATGCAAATTGTGTCTTCCTTCCCAGTAGTAACATCTTTTCTTTTTTTTGCCTTACTGTGCTAATTAGAGGACTTTCAGTACAGTATTCAATACAAGCGTTAATAGTGGGCATTCTTATGTTGCACTTAATTTTTAAAAGCAAGTGCTTCTTATGTTTCACTATTAAGAACAGTGTTTACTGTAGATTTTTGATAGATGCTCTATGGGTTAAAGACATTTCTTTTTTTTTTTTATTTTTTAAAGATTTTATTTATTTGACAGAGACATAGCGAGAGAGGAAATACAAGCAGGGGGAGTGAGAAAGGGAGAAGCAGGCTTCCCATGGAGGAGGGAGCCCAATGCGGGGCTCTATCCCAGGACCCTGGGATCATGACCTGAGCCGAAGGCAGATGCTTAACGACTGAGCCACCCAGGCACCCCGTTAAAGACATTTCTGTTGCTAGTTGGCTGAGATGTTTTTTGTTTGTGAAGAGCGAATATTAAGTCTTATCACCTTTTCTATACTTGTGAGAAGATCCTATGGTTGTCCTTCCTTATTCTCTTAAGGTGGTGAATGGCATTTATAGGTTTTCTAATGTTGAATTATCCTTGCATTGCTGGAATGAACCAAACTTAATATGATGGTCTTTTTTCATATACAAGTGGATTTAGTTTATTAGTATTTCATTTAGATTTTTGCATCTAAGTGCATGGGTGATATTGGCCCATAATTTTATTTCTTATGTTATCTTTGATTTTGGTATTCAGATTATAGCAGCCTCAAAGAATGAGTTGGGAACTATTCCTTTCCTTCCCCTGCCTCCCCTAAGGGTTTACATAAGATTGGAATGATCTGTTTCTTGAAAGTTTGGTCGAACTTCTGTTCCAACTGTCTGGGCTTAGTATTTTTTTGAGGAGGTATGTATTCAGTTTTCTTTTCTTTTTTTTTTTTTTTAAAGATTTTATTTATTTAATTGACAGAGAGAGAGAGAGACAGAGAGAGAGGGAACACAAGCAGGGGGAGTGGGAGAGGGAGAAGCAGACTTCCCGCCGAGCAGGGAACCCGATGCGGGGCTCGATCCCAGGATCCTGGGATCATGACCTGAGCCGAAGGCAGTCGCTTAACCAACTGAGCCACCCAGGCGCCCCTGTATTCAGTTTTCTAAATGGTTTTATTTAAAATTTCTGTTTCTAGTTAGGGCAGTTTTTAGAAAAAAAAAATTTCTTTTTTAGGAATCCATCCATTTTGTATTTGGCATAAAGTTGTTCATTCTTATCTTTTAAATTTCTGCTTAATATTTCTCTCTTTTTTATTCCTAATATTTTTTGTGACTTCTGTTTTTCTTCATCAGTCTTATTAGAGGGTTTATATATTTTCTTAGCTTTATCAAAAACCAGTGCTTGACTTTGATTTTTTCTATTATATGTTTTCTTTTTTTTACTAATTTTTGGCCTTTCTCCTTTACACATTTTTTTTTTAAGATTTTATTTATTTGACAGAGAGAGAGACACAGTGAGAGAGGGAACACAAAGAGGGGCAGTGGGAGAGGGAGAAGCAGGCCTCCTGCAGAGCAGGGATCCCGATGTGGGGCTCGATCCCAGGACCCTGGGATCATGACCTGAGCTGAAGGCAGACACTTAAGGACTGAGCCACCCAGGCGCCCCTCCTTTACACACTTTTTAAGTGAAAAGCAGAATCTAACATTAGGGTATCTCATATTTTCCAAGGACAGGATTTCAGTAGGCCTTGGGAACAGCTGGACCCAGGGGCTTACAGTGCTACCAGGACCTTCTTTCTTTCTTTTTCCTTTGAGTCTTCCTTTCCTCTTGTTGTCCACTGGCTTTTCTACTCTTCAGTCTACATGGCAGAAAATCGTGACAGTGAACCTCTGAATTTGGTGTCAGTTCCAGCTTTGTGTGCTCTTGATTCTGATTTTTCCGTCTGGATCACTTCTTTCTTTTTGGAGATTTTTTTTCTTTAGAATTCTCTTTAATGGGATTTCTGTAGTAAATTCTCAGCTATGAAATCTATGAAATTCTCAGTCTGAAATCTGTGTCACTTTTTTTGGATAGATATTTCATTAGGTATAAAATTATGGGCTGGCAGTGTTTTTGTAATCATTGTAAGAGATAATTCCACTCTCTTTTTGGTTTTCATTATTGCTATTGATAAATCAGCTGCCTAATAATTATTCATTTAAGTGAATGTGTTGTGTTTTGTTTTTACATCTTGCTGCTTTTGAACTCTTTATTTTTTGGTTTTCTGAAGTTTCATATGATGTGCCTAGGTATAGATTTCTTTTTATTTATCCTGTGTGAGACTTTTACTGTGAATTGCTTATTTTCCCTGGAAAAAATATTTTTGGTTCTTCTTTGAGGCCCCAGAAGGAAACACATTGCTTCAAGAGGATATACCTTTAGTTTTTTCCCCCCAGATATCACAAGGTACTGCAATTTGGTAACTAAATTTATCCTTTGAGGTTTTGGACCACCCTATGGGGGTGACTTTGGATTGCAAATATGTGTCTGGGCCTGCTTGTCTTTACAACCTCTTAGGAATCCTTGTTCTCTTCTGCATCCGGAAGACAAATTTCCTCATCCTTTGGTGATGAAGGGGTGGCCTGAGTTTACTTTTCCTGTTCAGTCTTTTCCTGAGCATGAAACTTTTGGATGAGGGGGGGGTCCCAGCTTTGTGGAGAAAGGATCTCTTGTTAGATTTTCCATTTGGGGTAGGTCTTATTCTTTGATTTCTCTTCTCTCCCAAGAGATTATCAAAATTAAAGCTTAATTTGGTGAGTTAGGCAGATGTATACAAGATAAAAACAATTTCATTATGCCACTTATCTCTTTGAGTTTCTGCTTTCTCATAGATTTTGGTCTTGTTATTCCTTTATGATCTTGTCAGCTCTTCAGTGCTTTTAATATTTTTTGAAATAAAATTTTACCCATCACTTTTAGCTGTTTTCAGTGAGAGAATTGGGTGAATAATCTAGCCTAGTGTGTTACTGGAAGTGGAATTTTATTCAGATTTCTTTGGGTTTTCTTTTTCTGATTCCTTCAGATAGATGCTTACTTCAGCAATTGTTAGGCTTTTTTCTAACATAAGCATTTTTTAAAAAAAGATTTTATTTAGTTATTTGAGAGAGAGAGAGAGAGAACAAGCGGGGGGAGGAGTAGAGGGAGAGGGACAAGCAGACTCTGCACTGAGC